TCCGGGTTACAAAATTCGGACATTATTGCCTCCGCCTCTTCGCTACACGTGCTGAGCTTTAGGTTCGCACAAATTACTTAATTATTTTAAATTCTGCCTAAACGGTTTTTCATTGATGGAACGCCGGATTACGGGGCTATAAATAGAGGCACTGGGTCCGGTGGAAGGATCCAGGACCTATTGTACAAATTCGAAAGGATGTGTTTAAAAGGTAGGTCGAGAAACGGACGCACAAAAACGGAGTAAATTTTAAATAAACACCCTCGATTAATATATTTTGTACGATTTATAAATTTAAAAAATACATACATATCCACGGGGTTATTTTTATTTTTGACGTTACATTCAAATTTAATTAAAGCGACACACATTCAATATAATTTTCACGATAATGATATATGCATCACCTGCAATTTTAATGAAATTAATTAAATTCAATCCGGTTGTGGTTGTGGCTAAAATAAAACTGAGCTCTGTGTCATTGTTGTCCAGATTGAATGTCCACTTTTACAAAAATGGACATCTACAATGTATAGATATTAATCCAATTACGCGTCCTTTGTAGTTTAACGTACAATTTTTTGATTAGTCCGAAGCCCCTAGCTTTTATTTATTTTTTTTAATTATTACTTCTATAATAATCCACTCGGGTACCAGAAACTTCGCTGACAGAGACGGGCATCACAACGTAGTAAATTTGACTAAATTTTCTTAATGATTATAATGATATAATATAACTTCTTGTAATATTATCAACAAGTCGTTGATGAATATAAGAAATAACGAATGCCCAAGATTACACCCCTGTGGTGCTCCAGATGTAGCTGAAATAGGTTGTGAATAAAAGTTCTGACATATTACAACTTGGTCTCGACAGTGAGATAGGAATGAGAAAGTCGAGTTGGAGACCGCGAGAAATCAAATCGGTTATGACATCTCCCCTGTTTGGAAGACCGTAACTGACAGGTCCTCAAACTGGGTCGAACTGTGCCGTTGTGTTTGGTACCAATTCACTGAACAAGTTGTCTTCCATAAAGTCGATTAAACGAATTTCTCATAATTTGTTTTCGTGGAGGTATCGTCCCCCTGCGTCGCTTAAACGCCACGCCCACTTACAAAAAGCCCCCAAAAACGCGTTGCGGCCCGAATAAACAGCGCCCCTAAATTCAAATTAAACACGAACATTCCAGGAACCCGTAAAACTGTCCAAGATAGCACCCTCGTCTTGAAACATGTATTCGGGCCCAAGAGGTAGGCAACCGCCATAATTTTATATTTATATGTAGGCATTGGAGGGACGTTATGAAGAAGTGGCCTCTGTTCGTCCGGAAATTACCGAACATTGAATTACACGCCTGCGGTAACCGACCCGAATAGGGGTGGAATTTTAATGTAAACACCACGTGACGTATTTACGGGATTATGCGTGACGAATAAAGACATCGGACGACTCCTTGACCCGATCGGGTCGGGCAGGTTGATCCCTTGATTTTACGTCTCCATTAAGGACCGCGTTTACGACGGGGGTAATTATTAGACCACGGAGTCTGTGCCGTGCTGACGGTGGAGATAGTGGGAGTAACTATGACCTACTACTTGGTGTGACGATGGAGTCATTTTGTTACTAAGATGGAGAGAGGTCGATCTGCAACGTCGTAGGGGTGAGTTTGGCCGCAGGCGATGTGTAGTTTGTAATAAATAGTTGGTAGGTCATTAATTTCAGGTAGCTTAAGTTTCCGTAACGTATCAATCCGGAGCGGCAAAAAAGCTCCATTGTGACAGCTTTCCCGGAAATAAAGTCTTCGCCTTGCACACGCCACGTGCTGGCCCGCTCCAGAAATTGGAAATTCGTAATATCCTGTATCTTACATGTGTATTTGAATGTAATATAAATTCCGCCGTGACAGTTAATTCCGGCGAGATTAATTTTGTATCGCGCAAACATCCAATTTATGAAATTTTTCCGGTTAAACAGGCGTGTGATGGAAATTTCGCGTCGCCGAAAAAAGAAGCACTCCGACGTTTAACTTCAGATTGACTGGTAATTTGTAGAGTCTGATGGGGCGATTTTTCACCGAGGAAGATTAGTGTCCGTGATTAAAGAAGCACCCTCGTCTCGGAATGAAAACTTGAAGAGTTATGGCCTATTATATTTTATTGACATCGCAGTACTTAAAATTTTAGAGGTTCGAGGACTCTCGTCGCGAAAACAGCGATTTTACAAATATCGACGAGTGACGCAATTAAAAATTCAGGGATCGCCTCTTCGGTATTCCATTGTCGTTCGTGCTGTGTCATAAAAAGATTTTTATTTTTACGGGGGCCATAAAATGAGAAGAAACACATTTTAACTTATTTCGACCCTTATAAGATCAAGTTATGGAAGTTTTTTATTTTGGACGGCTCACATGCGCTGAATGGCAATGGCGCACCGCTGCGGAATCTATATTTTAAACGCTACATTAATTTTTTTAGAGACACAAAAGACGCTCCTGGGCCGCCTAATTAACGGAATGCTTGGAAATGTTTCAAACGTCGTAGATTTATTATCGTGTGAGTCGCGATGGCGAAATCGCCGCAATTAACATGAGCTTGCAGTCGACACTTGACGTTACACCGAACTTTATTAGAGCGTTTGAAAATATAGCTTGTCAGAGACGTTTCAAAACATCTACAACTTAATTACAAATGTACTCTTTGTAACTGTACAATTGTGGCTATTAATAAACTCGCTGGCGCCCATCGTGGTGCACCGATTCCAGCGACGCGGAGCTGGAGCTCTGACGAGACTTGCGAATTAACGAGGAAATTCGATTGGTGTAGATTGTAGAGAGATATATTCCTGTTTGCGTAGTCGTCGGTTTATATATTTTATGTCGTCCCGTTCCGTCCTTTTGAGCTCCCCGCTCATTCCTTATTCCATTTCTTCCCTTTGAATGTTTCTGATATCTCATTTGCGTCTTCATTAATCCGCACAGTTACGTTAAGAGATAAAAGCCCCTCGAAAGCACTTCCTCGGTGTTTATTTTGGGAAAAAAGTGGAGAGTGCATTCGTTAGGCGGCGGCGCGATCCGATTTGCCTCCCTCGTAAATAAAAAGCGTCCGATTTAAATTCCGGGTCAAAGTGTCCCTTGTTAGACCGCCTAATTACAATCCGCCAGTCTAAACAAACCGCCAAAATAAAAATATGCCGCTCCCTGCCGAATCCCTGCCTAATCCACCAACTTACCCTAAAACAACAGCGTCAACGTACGTGACTCGTTAAAACGTAGCCCGTAATGACCTGTGAGAAATGAGGCGAATGGGAAATGGCAAGAAGCTCCCGAAATAAAAGTTTGTTGTTATTGTTGCGCGTTTTAATTTGAGTTGGGAGAAAGGAGGCGAGGAAAAACCGGGAATAAGACGAATTGGACTTTTCCATAATAAAACATACTCCCTCGGAGGAATGATAATGGAATAAATAATAATTTCATTCAAATGCCTTTTTCCATTTTTCATCCGGCTAATAGCTTTATGATTGAATTCTGAATCAGGCGTTACGCGCGGCGCTGGTGGCGGCAGGACATTAAGTAATAGCCGACGTTTTTTAAACGCCGCCACAAATAAATATTCGACCAAGATCCAGGAAGTCCGGATTTGCGCCTATCCCCCTTTTAATATTGTAATTATCCAAATTTACAACACCTGGAGAGCAGAAGCGAGACTTTCTAGAATAATAAATAAAATCTTTAATTCAAAGGTTAGCAGCTCATTTGCGAACACTCGACTAACAATTAAAAACCTAATTGCCGTCGTAAAGTTGATCTGGATCGAGTGGCTACTGCGTAAACCGGTTTTTTCGGAGCGAAAACGATCGATGAACGCATCTAAAAGCTTCATTAATATTTTCCAACGCCGGTCACCCTGGTAACGGTAATGTTAGTAATAACGAGCCCGAAATATAATAATTTCGCCTGTGCATTGCAGATAAAATTATCCCCGAACTCGACGAGAGAAAATAAAAATATATGAGCGGCCATTATCGCATCGGGATGCAAAAAGCTGATTATGCCGTAATAATTCTCATCTATTAGAGGCAAAATTAAAAGTTTTTAATTGGTAATATCCATCCAACTCTTAACAGCTGATTGGACGGAGCTTTTAATTATTCTCACTTCCAATTTCTGAAACTTCAGTAATGGGCTATTAAATTTATTTATTATTCAGACCGTCCTGATGGGAACTGCACTGCGAATTTAGCAAATTGGAAGGCGCTAACCTCACACGAATCCGCGAAAATGCAAAAAGCGCGCTTTGATTTTCGTATCCACTTCGAAACGTCCCTAGGGTATCGTCAAGAGAGCAGAAACCTGAAGCACCCTCACCACTGTTTAATTAAAAATGATCTTTAGAGTGTATTGGTTGTCTAAGAAGTACCCAACAAGGAAAAATAAAGTTTCATCGCGCGTCCCTCTCAAGCGACTTTAATTGCTGGCGTGCGTAAAAAATTGATCGAGGGGTGTAGCGAGCAACAAATTATTCAATATTAGGGAATAACAAATTGCCCTCGGAGCTTTTTGGGTAAATAAGACCGTGCATAAAAGCGAATGGAGTCGTTTAATGCAATTTATGGGTTTAATTTCGGGGAAATAAACAAGGTGATCCGAATACATCAGCTCTAGGGGGATAATTTACCGGATTAATATTAGCTTCTTGCAGATGCATAAAAAGCGAAACGGAAGCTGGAAGAGTCGACTTGAATAATAATTGCTGTTTGAATTTTTATAGGTAATAGGATCCGAGAAGATAAAAGGTGCTTTTAAATTGATGTTGCTGGTCGTGGGGTTTAGAGCCGGGGATTTGGGGCAGACGAAGCGTGGTCGATAACTTGTTACGCGTCTATTGTTATGTAGAACGTAACACCGTAAATTTACAGCCATCAATGAAACTTTTTTTAATACACTAGGGGAAAAATTCGTATTATATGAGTTCGATAATCATACTTTTCCACAAACGTAATACAAGGGGTAAAATTTTTTTTTTTTTATAACAACAAAAATTTAAAACGGAGCTGGCGGCTTTTCGGCGTCCCACTGGGCCACTGTGCCGTCTTTCCAAATGTACTGGCCTTTCAGATTTTCGGCTTCAAGGGCCAAAAATAGGGGAGCTCGGGCGCCTTCTTCGATGGTCCCGAATCCAGTGTGACCCGTCATGTCGGTCTTAATGTACCCAGGGTGCACCGAATTGACAGAGATATTTCTGTTGGGGGTCTCTTGGTCGAAGTTCCGTTGTTGTATTTTGGTCAAAGCGCTGACTGCCACTTTCGACACAGCGTAGGAAGAAGTTCCCCAGCCCGCCTCCTTGTGTTTATCATTTTTGGCATCCCTAAATCCCAAAATGTTTAACAATCTTTGAAAAGCCATTAACTCACTGGATGAATTTTTCCACCAACTGGTTGAGTTTGGGGACGGTCAACGACGGGTCGTTGAATTGCGACCTTAGGGTGGCTGAGGGTATCTTCGATAAGTGTCCTTCTGAACTTGAGACATGTATGACCTTAGCGTTCTTCTTCAAAATCGGGAAGAGAATGTCGCAGACTTTTAAAGTCGCGTAGTAGTTTACGGAATTAGTAATTACGGCTTGCTCGCTGAAAGGTTCGGTTGCAGTTCTCTGGAAGAGGATTGGTGAAAATTAGGTTCATTTTGACATGAGGACCTACCTTGAAAGCTATGGCTGCATTATTTATTAAAATATCGATACCTCCGTGGTTTTGTACGAGGTGATCTCTGAATTTGGTTATGCTGCTTTCGTCTGTAATTTCAAGCTGGTGGAAACTAGGTTTAAGCCCGAGTTGGTTGAGTTTGGCCACGGCTTCTTGACCTCGGTTAACATCTCGGGCTGTTAGGTACACGACGCCGTCGAATTTTTCGCACAGACCTTGAACGATCGCATAGCCGATGCCTTTGTTGCTGCCGGTGACCTAGGTTTGAGGTGCATGTTATACCTAGAATGGAGCTTTGAAATACTTACCACAGCCACTTTTGACGATGACATTGTAAAAGCGGATTTGGTGTTCTACGGGTAACTGAATTCGTGGTTTTGCTTGGTAATGCTGTTTGGTAATATTTACAGTGTTTAATCTGGAGACCTTGACGGGCTAGAGTGGGATTTAAGTGGGAGAGATAAGACGTTCCGATGTTGTTGATTGTGTAATAGTTATCACAGTAAAGAGCGGATTTATATGCACAAAGTTTTGTCAGAATGTGTGCTTCTACGTGCGTTAGAAAATGCTAAATATTTACAAGTTTCCATCAGATGTGCACAGGGGCGGATCGCACCTCCTGAACCAACACGGAAAAAATTTAGACTGGCGCCTGAAAGGTCTAAATTTTACTTCGTTTATAAGTATAGAGTGTTTCATGGTTACTGTCGCCTATGGAAAGTTCCCGATTTCCAGAGGACTGAATCCGCCCCTGCTGGTGATGTCTTTTTGCAGTACATAGTCTGAAAGAATCTCGGGGACCTATTGTGCCTAATTTTTGTAGTAGTTTCAAGGAATCTTGGGATCCCTTGGGCCTGATTTTTGAAGTAGTTTGAAGGAACCTTGGGATCCCTTGTGCTTGGTTTTTAAAGTAGTTTGAAACAATCTCGAGGATCCCTGGTGTCTGATTTTTGAGGTAGTTTCAAAGAATCTCGAGGATGCTTTGTCTAGTATTTGAAGTATTGTGAAAAAATTTTAGGAACCCCTTGTGTTTTGTTCTTGAAGTAGTTTGAAAGAATCTTGGGGTTCCTTGGTCATAGTTTTTGAAGTAGTTTGAAAGAATCTTCTCTGAATCGTTTGTCCTGTTTAAGGTAGCTTCAGATCAACGTAAATTTCCAAAGATTTGTAAAAATAGATGTTATTTCTACTTTCAACTCGAGCTTTTGTGATTAAACTTATCGCTCAACTTTGCCTATCTCTATTATGCTCTAAGCACCAGCACACAATGTAGATAAAGTAATCTAAACAATAAAAAAGTATCACTATTTTCGGGTGACGTGTTAATCGCCGCCGCCTCGATCCGACTCAACCGACCCACAACGACCCATACGTCTTGTTTACGCGCGTCCAGCGACCTTCTCGCCCCTGTTGCACACATCCATCGTCCGCGATTCCGGGTTTACGAGCGTCCGACTCCGGAGTATCGCCGCATCCAGGCGTCTCCGCGTAAATCAGCGGTCCACTCCATTAAAAACGGCTCTAAAGTTTGCAGCGGTTCCGGAACGATCCGGACCATGGTGCATTCGGACCACTCCGGTCACCATAAAACTTCGGCTTCCATAGGAAGCTCCTCCGACTCGCGTTGCCTTTGTTCGACTTTAAAACAAACGCTATGTGCACATTTACGTATAAATTGCTACACTTTCCGCCCACCGACGCCAACTTCGCTCTGTTACTGCAGCTTTTCAATTGTCTCGCAGCCGCCTATTCAATTGCTCGATTGTATGAGTCCCGAGTTCTGATGACAATCGCGAATTACTACCGTCCTCGTGCATAGACGAACTAATTGTATAATTTCACGGTGATGGGCTTTGTGCGGATTCAGGGCTCGGGAGATGCGAGCTTTGGAAGAAGCAGACTGTGTTCGAGCGTATCTATATTCACACGTATTTTGTCTTTGTTGCAGGTGAGTCCTTGGTTCCTTGTTAGAAAAATTCTCGACTGGTAATTTTTTGCGAACAATTTTTTTTATTAAAAACTCGCTTTTCGTATTTACCGTGAGCTTTCAAAACGTGCGCTTTTATTTAGCGATTTCGGCAAATTCGCCCATTCTTTGCCAAATGCCATCCGCCCACGTGCCGCTTCCCCCGAAATAGTTGCATGCGTCCGAGGCCGTTGCTCCTGCCCCAGAAGTTGGCGAAAGTGGAGCAGGGGCGGCTTCGAAGGGGCTGTTTTTCGGTCGAAGAGATTTGATTTGTCCATTTGGGAAAGCAAAAGTGTGACGAAGGCGATTGGTGTAATGCTGCTTTGGCATTTTGGCCGGCTCCCAACTTTAATTTATTATTATTGTGTCTTTGAACAGTGAAGGGTGGCGAAGGTCGATCTCCGACCCAACAACCTAATTATAAACTTTGCTCTTTAAGACAATTTACTCGAGCGAGACACACCTGTTACAACCTTAATTATTAATGCTGATAATATGTCAGGCGCTAACTCGTGCTAAGTCGCGGCTTATAGGGGATGCTTATTTAAGTCACTCTTAAGTTTCGCGGAAGGAAGTGGGGAACGAGGCAATTTCGGATTTCGCGGCGCCTCACTTTTAAAATTAATTCGGGTGGGTCGTGCTGGAAGCGGCATCTGCGCTCACGGAATTAAATAAAAGTGACGCCAGAAGCGAATTTTGCGCATAGTGATTAACTATAATGTTGCTAAATTTAAATTCTGCTTTTTATTGTCGGACTATTAAAATATATTTCCTTTTGGTTTAATACTACTGCGGGTTTTATCTGAACGAATTCACTGTTCGAGTGTCGGTGGTTTTTCTTGACTCGCCCTCCTATTTCGGACGGGGTATTATATCACCCATCCCCTGCAACATGAAACTAGGAAATGCTGCCAGACAAAGCAAATATGAAAACTATTGCCAAGTTTGCGTCCTGAATAGCAAACAATTGCATTATCTGTGTTCATAGAATAATTATTAGAGGATTCAGCTTTCATTACACCATCATATTGTGAAATTGCTGCGAGATAATATTGTAGAGCGTACACTGTTCAAAACAATTTGCATTTGGTCGAAAATTGGAAGTGCCTAATGTCTGAAACACGTGATTGTCCGAACCTACATTGAAAACTAATCATCCACGATAATTCCGGATATAATATGAATATTATTATTCAGTGTGTATGTAGTGTTGCATCCCCGGAGGTAATTTTAGCTATTTTCTATTTAATTATCGTCGACATATTATCAAAATAATAATGTCACTAGAGCGGAAAAATCTTCAATTGCGCTGAATCACACTGGCTATTAAATTAAATTATTACGCTTCAGTAATCCACACCCAGAAATGACGGAAATGTATTTTTTATTGGACGCATTTAAATAAAGTATACATTTTTGTATAGCAAATAAATAAAAATTGATCTTCCGTGCTGTTGGCCGACAAACACATGAATAAAATAATCGGGCCTATTACGCTCGACGGTTGATTTAGAGGCTCGTATATGGAGTAGAAAGACACGAAATCGCCAGTAAACAACGCCATTACCTTGTTTATGAAAAATCCAGCACGGTCCCGATCGATGAGAACGATCCCCGATTCGAGCGAAATCCCCCCATATAGTCGTCAAGTCTGCTGCATAAGCAATTAATGTTTTTCCGCGTCCGCGCAAACTTGGAATTAAATACGCAAAGTTTTAATAGGAGCGTTTACTAGTTTGCGTATTCGCTTTCGACGTCGTCAGCGCCGCGTCGTAACAAATAATCAACGAAATAACAAACTTCGCTAACTCGCATGAATATTCAGGAAGTTGTAGACTGCCTAATCCATCAAGATCTTGAGGAACGCTGCCGTGATAAACGCAAGCAAACTCGAGAGACATCCTGTCGGCAAACGGCGCATTCGCATAATTCAATTATGATAACCCATGTGGAAATTAGCGGCCGCCACCGCCGACATTTCCATTAGAATCACTAAACTGACCGACGCCGGCCGTAAATCTCAATATAAGATGCAGGCAGGGCGAACGCCTTCGGGGGGACGTTAGCGATTCCGGAGAGGGTCTAATCCCTTCTATCATTACGGCGGCCGGCCGAGCGGTAAATCTTGACCGGGTATTCCGGTTCAGATCTTTTCTGTAGCATTAGGAGGAGCGGAGGGCGAAAAGTGTCCGACTGCGGCGGTTAAGCAAGCACTCGCTCACTTTAGTGCTTAGAGGGGTGTTTAGCGGAGAGGCGGCAGACGCCGACATGGAGACGGAGACGAGAGGACGCTTTTTAACAGGGCTGGAGTGGAGCTAAACGGGCGAAAAGAGGTTTCGGGAGTTCTTAGACTAGTTGATGGTGGTGGTTTTCATTTTGAGGAAAGTGTATAAAGAAACAGAAAAACAGATATAAGATTGTTCTTAAGATGGATTTCGGATCTGGGTAAACAGTCGAGAATATAAGGATCATTGTGTCTGAAGGTAAGCAAAGAAAAATGTTGCTGCCCCGGTGGAAATCGAACTCAACGTCTCCCACTTGCCGGGCGGGTGCCTTGACCACTAGACCACGAGGCCGCTTATCTTTCTCCACTTACCATCGTGTTATTGCGCCGCCACATGTCTATAAGTTGAACCTAACGAAGAAAATTTGAAGATTTTTATATAAAGAACACATTGGCGGTTGTCAAGCTCCGGTATCAAGGCTGTTATTTTATTGCAAAGCTCCAGATTTCTTTCAAATTCTCCAAGACAACGCTATCGGGAAGCTAAAAGTTGGCGCAAATTGTTCAAAAACTAAGGGCCCCCAGATTCGTTCAAATTCTTCTCAAATAAGACACCAGGGAATCCCAAAGTCCTTTCAAATTCCTCAAAAAATCACCAGATAACTTCGAGATCCTTTCAAATTCTTTACAAAAAAAAAAACAGGGACCCCCAAGTGTTTTTCAAGTTATTGAAAAACACACACAGAGAGAGAGAGGGGGGGGGGGAGGGAGGGCACCCAGATTGTTTCAGATTCTTGTTAAATAAAACACCAGGCCCCAAGATTCTCCAGAACTTTTGAAGATTAAAACATCAAGGGCTTCCAAGATTCTTTCAAATATTTTCAAGAAAAAAAATATATCAGAGTCTTGCAAAATGCTCTCGAACTTTTTCAAAACAAAAAACCGCGGAGAGACCCCATGGATCTTTTAAACTCTTAGCAAAAAACACCAATTCCGAAATCTTTCAAAAATAAAACACCAAGGGCCCCCAAGATCCCTTCGAACTTCTTCGAACACCAGGGCTCCAAGATTCTTCCTAATTTTTTCAAAGACAGCAAGCAGTCGTAAGACTCTTTCAAACTGATACAAAACAAAAAATCCCAGAGGCTCACAAGGTACTTTTAAATTCTTCAAAAAAAAAAAAAACACCCAAACCTCCAAGTGTTCTTCAAGTTATTAACAAAAAAACACTAGGGACACCAGAGATATTTTTCAAATTTTACATAAACACTGCCCCCCAGATTATTTAACATTTTCCGAAAAAAAAGCACCAAGTGCACCCAGATTTTTTCAGATTCTTGTAAAATAAATCACCAGCCCCCCCCCCCCCCAGATTCTTTCATAACAAAAAACCGGGGGAATCCAAACTTCTTTTCAACTCTTAAAAAACAAAAGGGGCCTCCAAATGTTTTTTGAATTCTTCAAAAAGAGCACTCAAAGCGTCCGAGATGTTTCAAAGTCTTCTAAAAATAAAAACCCAATATTCTTCAAAATTGTCAAAAAAAAACACCAGGGACCTCCAGCTATTTTCAAATTCTTGTAAATTAGGACACCAAAGGTCCTCAAAATTCTCCCAAAACAAAACATTAGATGACCCCAAAGTTATTTCGAATTCTTGAAAAAAAAGCACCAGGGACCTCCAAGTGTCTTTCAAATTCTTAAAAAAAGCTATTTGCGCCCAAAGTTGTTTCAAAAATTCTTCTAAAGATAAAAACCCTGGTTCCCAAAAGACCTCCACAATTTTTTCGAGCTTTAAAAAAAAATAAAAATCACCACGGTGTCCTAAGGTGTATTTAAGTTAATAAAACAATAACACCTGGGGCCCTAAAATGTCATTTAAGTTCTTCAAAAAAATTCCACAAGGGGCACCCGAGATTTTTTCCACAAAAAAAAAAACATCAGAAGATTCCAAGATTCTTTTAAATTTTTCCCCCCCAAAAAAAAAACAACTGGGGCCCCAAGATGGTTTTAAATTCTTCTAAAAATAAAAACTCTGGATTCCAAGATTCTTTAACATTAACAAACCACTAAGACTCCCCAGATTTTTCAAAATAAATTAAAATATTTGTAATCCCCAAGATTCTTCCGAATTTTTTTCAAAAACAAAATACCAGGTAATACCGATTTTTTTTTTAATTCTTCCACAAATTCCAGGGTTCTCCAAGATTCTTCCAAACTTAAAAAAAAAAAAAAACACCAGCGACTTCCAAAATTCTTTTCAATTTTTCAAAAACAAAAATGTGCCAAGTGCTCGTTCTAACGAGTTACCAAAAATATTCAAAATATTTATAAAAATTATTATAATTTAAAAACATATGATTCAAAGGGGAAATAGTTTAGTTTGAAATGAAAAAAGTACTTGAATCTTTAAAATTTTCAGCTGAGAGTTTTTATTGTATCGGACTTTTTCAAAAATAATACACCAGAGGTCTTTAAAAATTTTCGTCCAGTCGTCAGAGAATCACTTTTAGGCTGATAATTCGTCGTTCACATGTGTATTACTGGTTGCATAATCACAAGAAACTATGATACTCGGAAATTGTTCATTTAATGTCACGTATCGTATTGTGTATGTATGGTGTCATTTGTTATCACAGTGCATTCTTGTTTGTCGTCAGACCATTAATATCTAGTTATTTTCGGTAATGATTTCAGCTACAAAATTTACTTCTTTTTTATGCGTTTCTAACCGCTTTTATTTTGAACTATGATGTCGTGACAAAAATCGCCCAAAAATTCGTATGTAATATTTTTCGTCGCCGCTTTATAAACAAAACCTTCCACGATTCGCATTACGTTTAATAGAGCGAAGTGAGCTGTATTTTGTCATTTCCACCATGCTTCCGTCAATTGCTATTTACGTATAACCCAAACTAATACTTTTAATTTCGACTTGTCGCTTCTTACCCCTCTCCGTCCTCCCTCCAGATTTAATTAATCCGAGTAAACACAATTAATCTTTGAATGTGCATCAATCGCCAGCCCGCGACTCCTATTCCGCCAGCAATTATCGAAAAATCTCCCCCACCTCATAACAAAAACCAATTAGAAAATTACATCAATCGGCGGAAGCTTTGAAAATTTCCACCCTTTTCCGATCCGCTGCAACTGCTCTCCGACGTTTCCTGTTGTTGTTCGCGAAGGAAAAGGAAAGCAGTTGTTTGTAAGGGAAACCGCCGAAAATATGTCAGAAGCTGCATCCGTTTGTTACGAATCGCTAGCCATCATTCAACTCGAATATTAATAGTTCTAGTCTGACACTTGAGCGTTCTACATAAATATACCGAGCGGGAAAAGAGGCGGAACATTTGTCACGGAAGATCTAGGAAATTATTCGCAATTTGCGTTGTCCTTTCTTGGGGTCAAAGAAGTGCTCAGATCAGGAGTGATGGAAGCGCTAAGAAATTGGGCTAATAATGGGAGGCTCGTGCTGATCGTGTCGGAGATAGGGAGTAATGGCCGTAATAAATTTTTGACGTTTCGGGGGAGAAGGGTCTCTCCGGACGGGATTTCCGGCGCGTTTGTTTTCGGTGCATACACCGGTACTGCACGGACCTAAACACCGTAATTATCGATATCGCTGAAAATCCGCCGCCCCCCGCGCGCCTCCTCTTCATTTCCTCCGAAAATACGCCCGAACGTAAACGGAGAACAAGTCGTAAAAACTGACACTAAAGCTTCCGTGCAGCAGCAAATAAATTGACGTATGAAATGTCAATCTCAGAAATGGGATATATCATATATATCGCAGCCTATTTTATAGTAGACTTACCGGCTTTACGACCGCCGAGACCGAACCGTGCTCCAGAAGAGCGTTTTCGTAATTTTTCTGACGCTCTAATAAAAAAACGGAAAGTTTAAAAGTGGCGATTTTGTTAATTCCCGTGTCCGGGAGGTTCGATCCCGTCGGAAGTCTTTATGGATTTTATTATTGTGCGCCGACGAGAAAAAACTCCATTATGTAAATGTGCAGTTAATGGAACATCTTCGTTTTTCGGATCGCGGCAAACTTTGTTCCGCTGCGAATAAGAATAATAAAAAGTGCGACAATCAACACGGCGTTGAGAGAAAAGTTTGCGTCTTAATTGTTTTTGTTTGTCATGCAAATGGAGGCGCGGGGACGCGTCTTGGGCTTTTAGGGGGTCAAAACACTCAAGGACGACATTTACACGGTTTTATTCGCCAGAGTTGTAACAAAATGGCCATAAATATAAACGACTTAAGTTAGAAGTTTGGCTTCTCGTTGGCAGGTGGCGCCAGAGTGTGCTCTTCGTTACGACCGCCCTTCCACCGTACTATTTATTAATATGTTCCAGTTATGTCATGCTCAGGATGCGTCGAGAAGTACTTCTCGAAGTCCTTCTTGTTGTGACACCACACGCCCGCGAGTCCCTGAACCACCGACAGACAGTTGGTTTCGCCCAAGTCCAAACTAATAATGTGTCCATCGACTTCACACTTGCAGATCGGTGGCTTGACGTCGTTGCACATGAAAACTCGATTATGTTTGATTCCTTTACAAAAATAAACACCGTTTTTACTGAATTTATAGAACTCGTCCCAGCAGTGACAGTCACCCTCCCAAGTCACCGACGCCAGTGCGGTAGCAACGACAGCAAGGATAGCCAACACCGTGACTCGAACCTTCCTAAAAAAACTGGTTAGAACGTGAACGTCGAACTCTCGTCTTATACTTACATTTTAGAGCGATGCGAATGCGCCCCGATAATGAGAACGCTCTATTTATTGCTAATTAACGAGTTAGGGGAAACACAAGAACGCTTCGCAGCAGCAAACAATTCGAGTATTTACAGTTTACCGATTGCAGTAACAAATAGGAGGTTATTAATGAGATATTTCGAACTGGTTGAAACTGGTAATTTGAGTTCGAAATTGAAACTAGTTTCGACACAGTTGCCATTAATTGAAAGGGGCGGGTTAGGGGTTTTTGGTTCATCGAGCGTGAAGAAGTGCTCGGAATTATTAATCCCATAAATAGTTGACGCGTTTACACAGCCGCCTGCTTTTTATCCTTGAACCACCGCGACACGTCTTTTTCTGATTATTTAACTTTCAAATTATCTTGTATTCCATTTTCACTCTCGTTGGGTAAACATTTACAATCAATACTCGGTTTGTTGTGGAGGTCACGAAATTTTGTTTGCTTTGTTTATTCTAGGTGTAAATAATATTTTTTTTATTTGGGGAAAAAATTGCTTTCATGTCCGGTTTTACCACGAACGCAGTTTTTCTCCGCTTTCCTCTGATTATTTTTTACACGTCGTTTTCAATTAATTCGGCATTACACAAACATTTACAAATCGGTGATAACCTTTTGACCGCTGTAAAATCGGGGTCAGTGCATTCGTAAAAGTGGAACGGTCGTTCGAGAATAAACAGGGGATTTTGGGCTGGTGTTTGTCTCGAAATTGATAAATTTATGTTGTGACACAAAATCAAGCTTAATATCGATGGTATTTTCTAGACTACGAGCCCTAACAACTAAATGTTCGGACACGTATTCTTTTATACAAAAAATTGTAATTTAATGAAAAAAAAAATGCATTTTACAAAAACAAAACTAGAATAATATATAAGTAGGTATCTTTAATGCAATATTCTGAACAAAAATTGTAATATTATTAACTTAACAAAATGATAACACAACAAAAAGCTGATATGAATGAATAAACTTGGCAACTAAATATTCGGACATGAGTATTTTTTTTTACTTAGTATGCTGTAACATCTCCTTTTGCTTTGATTACTGTGCGTATCCTTGTAGGCATAGTACTTACAAGACTTCTGCAGTATTCAGGAGTAAGACTTGCCCAAACTTCGTCGATTTTTGCATTTAAACCTAAGAGTGTTCGTTGGGGGTTGTTGCGCAAAACGGATTTTATGTCGTGCCAAAGTGTCTCAATGACATTTAAGTCAGGGCTGTTCGCAGGCCATGAAAGGACTCTTATATCATGATCCCCAAACCATTTCTTAGTACTTTTTGCGGTATGACATGATGCACCGTCCTGTTGAAAAATATAATCGTTGTCCGGATACAATTTTTCAACAGAGGGCAACAAACTGTTTTCAAAAATTTGTTGGTATTTCATGGCGTTAATAGTCGTTTCCACCAATTCATAATTCCCCAACCCTTTAGCTGACATGCATCCCCACACCATTATTCCTTTAGGAAACTTTACAGTTCGTTTTAAACAGTCTTTATTGAACGCTTCACTTTTTGATTTTATCACTCTTCTCCGCAAATCTCCCACGCACACATCAAATTTTGACTCGTCACTAAAAATGACCTTTGACCAATCTTCCATGGTCTATGCCAGCTTAGACTTTGCCCAGTTGTACCTATTTTTCTTTTGATTTGCCGTTATTAAAGGTTTTTCTTTGGCCTGTAACGGCACGGTGGAACAAATGTAAACCAAAAACTTAAAAATTACCTTATAAAAACTTAATCCTGACTTGTGAATCCATTTCCTACAACATTCTCGTGACAGCTTATGCCCTATTTCATCCGTCCATTGTGCTGTCATGTCTCGCAATGTGTTTCTTCGATTTTTTTTACAAAGTTTTACAAGGAGCCTTTGACTTCTTTCTGAAACTAATTTCGGTCTTCCTGAACTTTTTCCTTTAACTTCTAGTCCACCAGTTTCGCGATAATGTGAGATTATATCCGCTACAGTGGACTTTGCTAAATTCAGTTCTTCACTAATTTCCCGAATTTTTTTACCTTGGCAATACTTCTTTACAATAAGTGCACGTAATGATTTTTCAAGTGGACGTCCACGAACCATTTTGTTAAAGAATATATATATTTTTCTATGAATCTTACAACACAGTTAGGTAAAGCAGGAAGACGAGAATGACATTTATTAACAACCAAACAATTCACACCCCCTACTTAGTGAAAATTAATTTTTTTATTTATTTGTCCGAATAATTAGTTGCCAAAGTGTATTTACTTTTTCTGAAAAATCCACAGTCATATTTGAATTAAAATTCTATGTAAAGTAAAACATTCAACTTTTTTATTAAAAACTATTCTTTGAAATCTTAGCTTCCTATTTTTATGTGATTTGATAATAAAAATTAAAAATTAATTCATAAAGAGTGGTTTTTGAACGCTCCGGTTAGTTTGTCCGAACATTTAGTTGTTAGGGCTCGTATATTAAACGTTACAGGAAGCAACTTTCAATAAGAAAATGTTCATTTATTAGGGAAGAATGCTTTGAAGGTAATGTTTCAAATTTGCTGAGAGAACTAATAAATTTCATACAGTGCTTGTTCTGGATTTGCTTAGACGAAGATTCATTAAACTTAAGTCCTCAGATCTGCTGTAATAGCCGTGATAAGAATTTAATTTAACATATAAATTGGAATTTTCAGTCATAAAGTAACTAATATAGTCATCCTTGCAACTGTTATTGTACGATTCGTCGTTGCAGCTTAAATAATATTTTAAGACACGGACTGTGTCCCCAGATTAGAATTTCGTACTCTGAGTTTGACTAAACTAAACCGAAGCATTTTGCTTTTATAATATTCGAAGTTATTAACGAAATTTGTAAGTAGATATGTGTTTCTACTTATCTTTTTTACCACCTTTAAAACGCTTTTTTTTAACAAGGAGAGGAGTTTTTCACTTTGGTCTCACTTATGCTTAATTAATAATTGCTGCACCAAAACCAGATGAACCATGAATACTCAAATGAATACCATGAAAAAGCAAGAAAATAAAATTTTAAAATGTTTTTTTGACGTTAAGTACAGTGTATATTTACAATGTAGTCGGAATTCCAGTTTAACTTTTGAGTATTAATGTTCTTTTATTATGGTCATTATATATTTTTAAATAACCATCTACTTCTTCCATATGGTATGCCTGCTGAATACAAGATTTCAAGTTATCAGACTCCAAGGCTGTTACTAAGCCGTGCAAAGTTTCACAATTTAATTTATTTGCGTAGGTGGAAATTTTGTATTTCAAAGAAAAATGATAATTATGCAAGTGTGCATATTGCATGAACATAATGCAGAAGAATTATAACCGAGAAAATGTTTAATTGGAAAAACGTGTTGAATGAATCGTGATTGTTTTAATTTTAGATGATGTTAAGCGGATTCTTGACGTGCAGTGTTTCATAGTCGACCTATAACGTTTTTATATGTTAATTGTTTATTCGTCAATAAACACCCTAATACAAACTCCAATACGATAGGATTAAATGCTCACAAAAACATCAAACACATATTTATTGATAATAATAATACAATAAAAATAATACATTTTTTTCTGATTGATACAATATTGAATAATATTGCCTTAGTTACAATATGTCATAACACACTAATATTTCCCAAGGTAAATATGAAATGATCATATTGTCCCAAGGGAAATATGAATTGTCATATTTCACTACAATTTTTTTTTATTTTTTAATTGATTTATATTCACCAATTCGTTCGTTCTGCAGGCGCCAAAGATTTCCATAATTAAAACGACCTTCAAAATTATGGATGTAACAATCTATTTAATAGAGGAGAATCACAATGAAATTTTTACCTTATACATCAAAAAAATGTCATTAGGAGCTTCTCGCATGAATTTTTTGAGCTGTTGTCGAGACAACACCTCTGATTTTTTAGGAATGTATCCTTTATTTTTATTCTTCACAAATGCTTCTACTTCATCGAACAGTTTAACATCAGTTTTTTCCCTTAAATGTAACATTGACCTTAGCATCGATAATTTTGGCCACAACGTATTTGGTGAATATTTGTGCGACTACGGATAGAATAAATTAGTCATACGTCAAAAATAACAAAAATCAGCAAAATACCAAATCTTCAAAAAATGCAAGCAAAATATTTTCGTCGACACCATTCACCGAATTTTCTCTTCTCCATTCTTGAAAGTCTTCATACACTTTACTGTAAGCAGCTTTAGATTTCACGGGAACCAAACATTCACGGGCTTTCGCCGCTTGTGATAGCACGTAGTTCGACATTTCATCAATTTTATTTATGACAGGACGCGACAATCAAAGCAGCCAACCATGATATTTACAAACACCCTTAGCAACGTTACCAATCCGATTAATTCAAAAATTTAGAATCCAATATTTTTTGCAACAATATTGTATCAATCAGAAAAAAACTATTGATTACAACACGGGAAATATGAATTATGTCCCTTGGTTGTCTATACATCCCTCGGGTTGCACCCTCGGGATGTAACTAGCCAACCTCGGGAAATATAGTATTCATATTTCCCTAGTTGTAATAATAGCTATTTAAAACACTGAGTTATAAATCGCATATTCCGCATGCCTGCTGAAATACTCCTCGAACTCCCTTCTGTTCTTGCACCACCTCCCATTTTTCAGATCCACGATAAGACAATCTGTGTACCCCAAGTCCAGGACGATTGTCTTGCCCTGTTTTTCGCACTGACAAATCGGCGGCTTTTCTTCATTGCAACTAAAACTTCTGGAGTTCTTCTCGCTCTTGCAGTAGTAACTTCTATCTTCAGCCCTTTCAGGCTTGAAATCCTCCCAACATTTGCAGTCCTTTTCCTTGGTCACACTCCCGCTTGTGGCGCAGGCGAAAGTCGCCAGTAAAACACACACAAGTAAGTACTTCCTGAAAAAAAAACCGCAAGAGCGTGGATTGAAAAAATTTTATCTGAAAAAAATCTTACATGTTGTTGGTAGTGGAAATGGTGCAGGATGTTGCAGAAGATGCAATAAATATGAAGATGGGTGGAAGAGGGGAGTCGTCCTTGAAACAATCACCTCGAGAAGTACTTGCCGATTCTGGGTAATTACTAATTATTAAACAACAAAACGCGTTTTTAATAGCCGGAATTTTTAAATTAGTTTACTGAAAATACAGACGTAATCTAAATGTTCCTTTATTCTATTTTAAGTACAAACGCAGTATAAATGTAACAAAATTTAGTCATATATGGCGTGCTCTGGATGCTTTCGGAAGTACTCTGCAAACTCGGCCCTATTGTGGCACCACCGTCCATTCTTCACATTCACCGTCAAGCAATTAGTTTCCCCCAAGTCCAAATCCACTATCTTTCCATCAACCTCGCACTTGCAAATCGGCGGCTTCTCTTCGTTGCAACTGAAAACCCTGTGGTGCTTTTCGCCTCTACAGTAGTACCCGGTGCCTGTATCTTTCTCCGGTTTGAAATTCTCCCAACACTTGCAGTCTTCTTCCTTGTCCACTTGGTCACACTTGGAAAGGGCCACAAGAATGCCGAAAGCACACACTAGTAGTAGCAGCTTCCTGAAAAACAAGTGACTTAATCACGGTACTACCAAAAGCGCGCCAAACTCCCTACATGGTACCCACGCTTCGAGAAATTTTCCACGAATGACCCCTGATTCCGAAACCCCGCTATTAATACCTGAAAAGCAAACACGAAGGCGGACCCGGTTTTGTTTGTTATTTAAATGAATCTTGTAATATCGCCTTGACAATGAGACGTGACAACACGGCGATGACTCACCTGTTTTTTCGCCGCGATTCAACTCAAAGTCAACAATGGCTTGTTTGGTCGATTATAGCGGTGACAATAGCAACACCATTTATTATTCATAATCGACTCGTAATTAGGAGATAAGTGCTCGGATGGTTGCAGACATACCGTAATTCTTTTATTTTTGTTAAGCGAACAATGAGGGCGGGACCGTTCTGGTTGGATAAAAGCGGCAGCGGAGTTTTATTGGAAGCTTGATGACGCTGAATTGGTAATAAATGCAGGAATTATTGATGCACTTACGCCAGAATGCACGGCCAAAGCGGATTTAGTGCTTGCGGATTGGTATATTTACGGATAAACTAGCTGTGGCTGTGTATACCGGGTGCCACACGTTTCCGTCTGTCTGTCTGTTGACGAATTTTTTACACTCATTTTTAATAAATCCGATCCATAAATAATTTTTATTTTGCGCTTGTTTTGTTTGACTGCGCACTAATTAAAGTTTTAATGGATGACTATTTATTATTACGTTAAATAAACATGCAGCATGAATAACAACAACGACTAAATACAAACGAATAAATTTTAGCAATCGCGATTTATCGACCAACACATAAATAAATTAATCGTAGATTCTCCGGTGCGGGTGCCTGGAAAAGTACTCCTCCATTTGGTCACGGTTATGACACCAGCGACCAGCGTTGACCCCTAGACAGTTCAGCTCCCCTAGGTCCACCTCCACGATCTTCCCATCAACCAGACATTGGCAAATGGGCGGTTTTTCTCCGTTGCACTCGAAAATCCGGAAGTGTTTACGACCCCGACAGTACCAGAGCCCGGATTCGCCTTTTTCCGGGTAAAAGTCCTCCCAGCAAAGGCATTCTTCTTCTGTTGTGACGTCGGTGGGGGGCATGTTTGCAAGCATGCAGAAAATTAACACCTTCCTACAATTATTTTTATTATTACTATTATTTTTAATACACCTAGCTATCTTACAATATAGTTGTGTTTAAACAGCTTCCGTCTGGCTGCACTCTTACCCCCATCCCAGATTCTGGCTCAAAAATGGAACTAAATTAGCGTTTTCGTCGTTAAAAATGCTCCTAGACTGGAAAATGAGTCGTTCATTTAGTTTCATCTACTGTGACTCCGTAATTACGTGCTCGGTTACTTTGTTTGAAGGTAACTGTTGAGAGGAATCGAATCGTTACGAGATAATGGACCATTGTGTCTATTTTTGTTTACTTAACGTAAACGAAAACACGTTTAGGTTTAAATTAGTTTCTGCACGACTACTTCCGCATGCTTCGGCAACACTGGACGCAGCTTTCGAGTCGTAAACAAAGCTCCTTCAAAGATTTAATTTCATAATTTGTTAGTTTTTCTCGTAGACGAATACGCGTCAGACGCACTCGACACAAAACCCAATTGCGCCCTCCTAACCCGAAAGTGAAAATTCCGGTCGAAAACGTCAATTCTGTTCACTTGTCATTTTAATACACATTTAAATTCCCACTTTCCGCCGGTCTCCGGCCTGATTGATTTGTTTTTGATGGGGCGCACATTCGCAAAATAAACGCGAACGGTAAATAAAAGTCGCGAAATTACTTTGGGTTCGGTCGTGTGAAAATTCGGCGAGGTATTTTTTTGCTCGACTTAATAGCGATAAAATGGAGGCAGTAAACGTCGTTGCCGCTGTCAGTTGTGTTTGAACTCTTTCGGGTGAAGAGGGTCCACGCTGTTGGCGTATATCAAAATTAAGATTTTTTCCTGGGGAAACTTCCACGCAAGCTGAGCGAAGATGAAATGTTTACCTGGTGTTTGCGGCTTGTTGAAGGACGGGATGTCTGAAATCGACGCCAATGCACGAGGGAAACTGCTAAAGCGGTTATTTTTTGAAGGAAAACTTATCTTATCGATAACTTATCGGGCGCTTTTTATCAATCTATCCGGTTATTTACGACTGAAGGAATTAAAAGAAGCGATAGTAAGAAAATAATGGTTGATGTTTGACGTACCTAACCGTTAAAGACCCTGGTTTATAGACAACCACTTATACACATCATTAATTTAAAAAAGTTTAAAACCAAGTCTCGCAAATAAAAGACACATGAAAGCTATACTTTGTATATTGGCAATCGTTAACATAACATAAAATGTATTCCACGACTCTGCCCCAAATATTTTCCTCACCTGTTTGACTCGCACTGCGACACCTCAAACCACACCGAGCACTCCGTACTTGCAGCACCGCGCCGCCTCCACCCAACATATGTATATTTACGCAATCACCTCCACCGCCTCCTATCGATCCCTCTGCCCCCTTCCCTCTAATTAATCCTCAGCCAAAACCAGACGAACCCGACTGCATCAATCGGTATCTATAAATAGCACTCGCACAATATCAAATAAAATCCGGGTATTTGCTGAAGAACTCTTCCCATTCCCTCGCGTTTTCGCAAGGCCACCTCGCCAGCTCCACTCCGTTCGAATATCTCGTGCACCAAGTGCCCGTTCGATCCTTCAGGATGCTGCTAACTCTCCCGGAACATTGACATCTCGGCGGCCTCGCCATATTGCAGGGCATTATGTGGAATAAATCGACTCCCACACACTGGGAGCCGTTTTTATTATGTTCGGCTTTATATCCGGCCCAGCATTCACAACGGTGCACGGCGCTGGGCAAAGCCAAATCCAGGCACAACACCAGGATCGTTAGGCGAAACCTTGAAGAGAAAAGGCGTTAGTGGAGAGGCGCGAATCGAGCGGACTTACATTGCGAAGGAGTCGACGAGAGAGCGGAGACTGACCGAAGAGGTCGGCGATGGTACAGTTAGGCGGAAGATGGGCTTTTTGTGATGGGGCTCGAACGGTGCAGTACGTTTTTATGCACGGCGGGGATTCGGCCTGGAAGTTATGTGTGTCAAGAGAAGTTTAAGCACAATATTGGGGCTAGCAGGCGGAACTGTCTCTGAAATTCGTTAGGTATGCAACCAACATTACAATCTTAATAATTGCATTTAGCGGCATATCCTGAAGATTTCGGATTTCAACCAGTTCGAATTCTTTCTTATGAGGCTATCTTCTTCCTTTGCGGTTTCTTGGTTTGGAACGCGTTCCAGCGACGTGGGACAAGGAGCGCCCCTGCCCCCGGTGGGTCCTGCTCCGGGCCCGTTTGTTTTGTATCGCTTCAAAGTGAATGTGTAAATTGCGCCTAGCCGTGCAAACAGCGCTCTAGCCAAACACCAGAATGCATGCTAACTCCGCCCGAGATTTACCTAACTAATGCGAAATGGCGTACAATCAGAATTTTGCAGGAGGAGCTTTGGAAGCAATCTGCTCCGGCGCCGTCGTCTTTCCGTTCTCCCCCGGAATATATGTAAAATAAAATATTATGTGATAAGAGGAACAAGAGAACGTCATTTGAAATTTACATATAATGATCCATTTTCTCTCAAGTTTTGATGGGACGTAATAAATTTCCGGCGAAAAAATATTTCTACATCGCTCCGGAGACGCCTCTTCGGACTGATTTTATATTTTTCCGGGCCTTAGACTGACGAAAATATGACGATATCGTGTTCAGAACGGAATCTCGTTAAGGCGATGCGAGAATGTTTGCTCGACGCTCACAATAAAACTGAGCACCCCATCATATTTATTTTACTGGCGTAATTAAAGTTTACGGCGAGCCGCACTTTTGGCGCAGTCGGCGGGATGCACTGGCAACTCGTCCCCAAGGGTGTAACATCACTCCGGCATGTCATAACAGGGTAGTCGTGGTCGGCAGTCATCGGGAAAATGTTTGAACTGGCGCAAATTACAAAAAAATATTTTCGTTGCGCGGAATTTAATTGTGTTGATTTAACCGAATGCATTATGTAGCAGTTTAAATGAAATTTGCTACAAAAATAAACAGACGACGGCAATTGATTTCCGGTCGATTAGTATGGATACGGAAAAATAGCATTTGTAGCGGAAGCGGCGGACAAAGGCAGGCCGCCGCCATATCAAAAATTAATGAAAAAAATTCTCGCCGGAATTAAAAGCGAACAAATCGCCACACATGCACCCAACAAAGAAACTCCAAGTGCGATAAAGGCGAGCGCTCCCCTTCCGCCATTCCGCGTTATGACGTACCTGCCACTTCCATTTCGACTTCTTTCCTTCCTCCGGAGCTATCGCGTCGTAAAACGCTCATACTTCCTCAAAGAATTTCTAATTAACTGCGGAAAAATGCAACAACTCGAACACAAAATTCTTCCGACGCAATTTCACCCTCTCCGATCAACAAAGAGGCGTTAATCTATGAGGAACGTTCGCCGGAATGCCTGCAAAAAATTCGGACATGCTGTTCGCGGAGTTTATTACGCGAAGGTGTTTACTATCGGAGGCATAAAGCCGTGAATGGAGATTAATGCCCTTCGCTAGGAAAGCGCGGGACGGGCGTTTAATTAGGGCTGGTTATGTCGAAATCCTCTTTATCGTTATCTATATTGCCGGCCCGACGTAGATAAGGCGTATTGCGGCGGATCTAAGGCCCTTTGTTGGAGGGCGCTCCGACAGATGACGTGTCGATAATGAAAATTGACCGCTTGAAAAATTTTATTTCCGGATGCGGAGAATGGGAATGGAATGAAATAATGTTTTCTCTGAGTGATGGACACAAATTGCGGCCGGGTTACGACCGGGCTTCTTCGAGAGGTTCACGAGCCGAAACGGCGCTCCAATCCGGGCGCAGAAGAGGACAGCTGATTAAATTCAGATCGTTCCATGTTCCATGACAGTAATGGATCATCGAAGCGAATACGCGACTACCTACGACTAGAGGGTGCAACATCACTCCGGCGGGTCATGAAATAGCACTATACAGCAATAGCAAATTCGTATTATTGTCATTTTTTATTCGCGTTTTTCGCCATCGATTTGTTTACACTTCTTCGCCGCCTCTTAATAAACTTTCCTTATCTCATTAAAAGTTTTTTCGATAATGTCTCTTTAACTTTCGTCAAACGCACTCTTCGCCTCCACTTTCGGCGTCGGTGCCCCCTCCCCGCAAAAAAACTCCCCGTGCCTCATCCCGAGACAAAAGCGGCCATATTAGCACAAACCATGACAAATCTGTTCCTTTGAAACCGTTAATTAATTATAAAACGAGAATAGACCATTTGAATAATTACGCTCGCTCGGCCCAGTTCCTCGCTATTCATCAAGGAGTTTCTTGTTTGTGTCCCGGAGTGGTGCCGCTAAACGTTATTGAACGGAAGCACGTGCTGAAACCGGAACTAAACAGTGGCTTGCGCGCGCATCTTCCGCTCCAGGCTGTCGGGTTAATAGGCCTTTGTTCCCCAGCATCGGGTCCGCACGCACTTTTCAACTACATACTTTCCAGAAATAACAAAGCATAATTGCCTCCGGGATACATTCACGACCTTTGGGATCGGATACATGCCGCTAATAACG